TAGAGAGGACTTACTAAGTATTTATTTGTCGTGTCAGAGCAACCAGTCCATTATATTACATTTCTAACAGAACAAAACAAACAAATAGAAAAATACAAAACTTGTGGGTTTGGTAGTTGGTTAAATGTCGTTTGACCAGTCTCTGGCCACTTGGAGTGCCTCTGGTGTTGCTGCAAGAAGGTCCTCCATTGTGCATGTGACAGGGCTCAGGTTGCATTGCAGTAGGTGGTCAGTGGTTTGCTCTTCTCCCCACTCACATGTCGAGGATTCCACTTTGTAGCCCCATTTCTGAAGGTTGGCTGTGCATCTTGTGGTGCCAGAGCGCAGTCTGTTCAGCGCCTTCCAGGTCGCCCAGTCCTCTGTGTGCCCAGGGGGGGAGTCTCTCATTTGGTATCAGCCATTGGTTGAGGTGCTGGGTTTGAGCCTGCCACTTTTGGACTCTCGCTTGCTGAGGTGTTCCAGCGAGTGTCTCTGTAGATCTTAGAAAACTATGTCTAGATTTAATTCGTTGACGTGCTGGCTGATACCCAAACGGGGTGAGCTGGAGATGCCACTGACTTGGTCCTTTCACTATTGGCTGCTACTTCCCGGCGGATGTCAGTTGGTGCAATACCGGCTAAGTAGTGTAATTTCTCCAGTGGTGTAGGGCGCAGACACCCCGTGATAATGGGGCATGTCTCATTCAGAGCCACATCCACTTTTTTAGTATGGTGAGATGTGTTCCACACTGGGCATGCATACTCAGCAGCAGAGTAGCACAGCGCAAGGGCAGATGTCTTCACTGTATCTGGTTGTGATCCCCAGGTTGTGCCAGTCAGCTTTCGTATGATATTGTTTCTGGCACCCACTTTTGCTTGATGTTCAGGCAGTGCTTCTTGTAGGTAAGAGCACAGTCCAGAGTGACTCCCAGGTATTTGGGTGTGTTGCAATGCTCCAGTGGGATTCCTTCCCAGGTGATCCTCAGAGCTCGGGATGCTTCTCTGTTCTTGAGATGGAAGGCACATGTCTGTGTTTTAGATGGGTTAGGGATCAGCTGGTTTTCCCTGTAGTAGGCAGTAAGAGCACCTAGAGCTTTGGAGAGCTTCTGTTCGACTTACTAAGTGATCTGTTTGGACTGTATGGTATGCTTCTGCTCTGCTTCTCACTTCCGCTGGGACTTCACAGCCTTGACGTTCGTTCTTTTCTTCCCACAGTCTGACCTGAACCGCCTCCCCGAGATCGACAAATCCCTGGCGGTCTTCTGCATGGCCACCTACGGCGAGGGAGACCCCACAGACAACGCCCAGGACTTCTACGACTGGCTGCAGGAGACGGACGCCGATCTGTCCGGCCTCAAGTTTGCGGTGAGTCCTTTCCTCCCTGCTCCCAATTCATTCCTGGGACTGGTTAGATCACCACTTTAAGCTGTAGGGATTGGTTGTTTTGGATTTCCTTGGTAGAGAGGCCTAGTATCTCCCCAACTACAGATCCATAGCAAATCCTTCCAAATCAAAAATTTCTGCTGTAGCTTGGGAGTCAAACAGGGCTCTGTTAGGTAGAAATGGCGAAGCATTTCTAATTCTGGAGAAAAACACTATTTGATGAACGTGGTTGGTTGGTAGCACCTCGGTAGTGACTGAATGTCATGATGCAATACCTAAGGGAATGTGGTAATGGCTGAGTCATAACTATGTGAGGGTTATTGCAAAGGGGTCGCATCAGCCCGTTATTTGTCGTGTCAGGGCAACCAGTCAATTATATTACATTTCTAACAGAACAAAGCAAACAAACAGACAAAATACAAAATTTGTGAGTTTGGTAGTTGATTAGATGTCCTTTGACCCATATCTGTCCCCTTGGAGTGCCTCTGGTGTTGCTGCAAGAAGGTCCTCCCTTGTGCATGTGGCAGGGCTCAGGTTGCATTGCAGCAGGTGGTCAGTGGTTGGCTCTTCTCCACACTCGCATGTCGTGGACTCCACTTTGTGGCCCCATTTCTTGAGGTTGGCTCTGCATCTCGTGGTGCCAGAGCGCAGTCTGTTCAGCACCTTCCAAGTCGCCAGTTTTCTGTGTGCCCAGGGGGAGTCTCTCATTTGGTATCAGCCATTGATTGAGGTTCTGGGTTTGAGCCTGCCACTTTTGGACTCTCGCTTGCTGAGGTGTTCCAGCGAATGTCTCTGTAGATCTTAGAAAACTATTTCTTGATTTAAGTCGTTGACGTGCTGGCTGATACCCAAACAGGGGATGAGCTGGAGATGTCTCTGCCTTGGTCCTTTCACTATTGGCTGCTACTTCCCGGCGGATGTCAGGTGGTGCAATACCGGCTAAGCAGTGTAATTTCTCCAGTGGTGTAGGGTGCAGACACCCCGTGATAATGCGGCATGTCTCATTAAGAGCCACATCCACTGTTTTAGCGTGGTGAGATGTGTTCCACCCTGGGCATGCATACTCAGCAGCAGAGTAGCATGCAAGGGCAGATGTCTTCACTGTGTCTGGTTGTGATCCCCAGGTTGTGCCAGTCAGTTTTTGTATGATATTGTTTCTAGCACCCACATTTTCCTTGATATTCAGGCAGTACTTCTCATAGGTCAGAGCACGGTCCAGAGTGACTCCCAGGTATTTGGGTGTGCTGCAATGCTACAGTGGGATTCTTTCCCAGGTAATTGTCTGTTCTTAAGGTGAAAAGCACATGTCTCAGTGTGATTGACACTTGCTATCCAGCTTGCAATGGTTCAGGGAGGTTATCTAAGGAGGATGAAATAATCCATCTTTCTCTCTCCTGCGTGACTCAGTGTGAGTGACATTTGCTACCCAGCTTTCAGCGATTTGAGGAGGTCGTGATTTGGAAACTATAAATCACTTCATGTACCAGCAAATCCCATGGCACGCTCAACTTGGAGATAGTAGAGCAAGTGATACAGTCGGGGAGAAATGCAGCACAGCATAGGTAAAGGGTCAGCACTCGTTGGGTCACTCCAAATGGGTTCACGTCTTTAAAGGCCAGATTATGAAGCGGAGGATTTTGGTTTTGTTTTTTGGTGTCACGAGCGACTTGATAAACTGCAAGTCGTTTCTGGTGTTGAGAGCATTGGCGGTCTGCAAGGACATTGCCCGGGGAACGTTACCCGGATGTTTGATGTTTGTCCATCCTTGTGGGAGGCTTCTCTCATGTCCGCGCATGGGGAGCTGGAGCTTACAGAGGGAGCTCACCCGTGCTCTCCCCAGATTTGAGCCTCTGACCTGTCGGTCTTCAGGGTTTAACCCATAGGGCCACCGGGGCTCCTACAGAGGATGCAGATGGGGAAACGCGGCACAGAATAGGTAAAGGAGGCAGCGCAGGAATACCTGGCTACTCCAAACAGATTTGAGTCTCCAAGATTAGGAAAACTCCATCCGAGGATATTAAAGAAGCGGTGGAAATAGCTCTGGAGCAATCCATTTTTGAGAATTCCTGGAAACCCCATCAGATTGGAAGAAGGCCAGTGTTGTCCCTATCTTCAAAATATGGGGGGAAAGGGGACCAAAACAATGTCATCCTGACATGGAAAGATTCTGGAGCAGATCACGAAAGAGACAATCTGCAAGCACTTAGGAAGGAATGCCGGGCTCGCAAAAACAAGTTACTTTGGGGGAGGGCCACTACCCGCAGGACCCGCCCCTCCAGCCGTCTTTTGGGGAAGTTCCTTTTCCCAGGCTTGGGGATTGGGGAAACTGCCCGAGACCCATGGCTGCTTCAGAGTGCGTGCGTCACCAAGGAAACAATGCGTGTATTTATAGACGCAGATGGGCTCCTTAGCGGGCCGAGGGTCGGCTAATTGGGTCTCCATCCGTCTCGGTCCCAATTTAGTCGCTCTTTTCCGGTGCTTCAGTTCTTAATTGGCGGGAGTAATGAGGCGAGGAGAAGCTTGGCCGGCTCTCAGGACCGAACCGAAGGAGACACGTCTCCGGCGCAGAGGCGGCTCGCTTTGTCCAATTAGGGCACACAAATTAAACCCTTTTGGGGTTCCATCCCAACTTCCTGAGGGTCTCCAAACATCCCGACCCCTTCCCTATGTGTCAGGATCCTGGGATTAGGATCTACGATGCTTTATATATCCATACGGCTATCTCCTACTAGTGTTTATCCCCGGTGTTGCCCATGTAGCATTGGAACCAATGCCTGCCTGTTTTCCCCATTCTCCAGCTCTTAGAAAAGAGTGTCTCCATTGGTAATGCTGTGGCAATAGTGGGCAGGCTCTCCTTGCAAGTTTCCTTTCTTTCTCCCTTTCCCTTATGAACCTTCTCCCTCTCTATTCTTCCTTTATTTTCTCCTTCCCTCACTTTCTGCCATACACCTTCCCTCCTCTCCTTCCTCTCCTTCTTTTCCTCTTTCTTTTTTCTTCCTTTCCTTCCCATCTCTAATACCTTTTCTCCTTTCCCTCCTTCCTTTCTTCCTCTTCCTTTCTTTTTCCCCCTTTCCTTCCCATGTTTCATACATTTTCTCCTTTCCCTCCTTCTTTTCCTCTTCCTTTTTTATTCCTTTCCTTCCTCTCTTAGACCTTTTCTCCTTTCCCTTCTTCCTTTCCCCTCTTTTCTTTCTCCTTCCTTTCTTTTTCTTCCTTCCCTTCCCATCTCATACCTTTTCTCTTTTCCCTCCTCCCTTTCCTCCTTTTTATTTCTCTTTCCCCCCTCCCTCCTTCCCTCCCTCTTCTTTTCTTTGTCTTCCTTTCATTCTCATCTCTCAGACCTTTTATCCTTTCCCTCCTTCCTTTCCCCCTTTTTCTTTCTCCTTTCATCCTTTCCTTCCCATCTCCCAAACCTTTTCTACTTTCCCTCCGTCTTCTTTCTCCTTCCTTCCTCCTTCTTCTTTTCCTTCCTTTCCTTCTCATCTCTCGTGCCTTTTCTTCTTTCCCTCCCTCATTTCCTCCTTTTTCTTTCTCCTCCCTCCCTCCCTCCCTCCCTCCCTCCCTCCCTCCCTCTTCTTTTCTTTTTCTTCCTTCCATTCTCATCTCTCAGATCTTTTCTCCTTTCCCTCCTTCCTTTCCCCCCTTTTCTTTCTCCTTCCTTTCCATCTCCCAAACCTTTTCTACTTTCCCTCCTTCTTTTTTCTCCTTCCTTCCTTCCTTCCTTCCTCTTCTTTTCTTCCTTTTCCTTCCCATCTCTCATACCTTTTCTCCTTTCCCTCCTTCCATTCCTCCTTTTTCTTTCTCCTTCTTTTCTTCCTTTCTCTTTCTTCCTTTCCTTCCCATCTCCCAAACATTTTCTCCTTCCCCTCCTTCTTCTTTCTCCTTCCTTCCTCTTCTTTTTCGTCCTTTCCTTCCCTTCTATCGTACTTTTTCTCCTTTCTCTCCTTCCTTTCCCTGCTTTTCTTTCTCCTTCCTTTCTTTTTCTTCCCTTCCTTCCCATCTCTCACACCTTTTCTCCTTTCCCTCCTTCCATTCCTCCCTTTTCTTTCTCCTTCCTTTCTTCCTCTTCTTTTCTTCTTTCTCCCTTTCCTTCCCATCTCCCATACCTTTTCTCCTTTCCCTCTTTCTATTCTTCCTTTTTCTTTCTCCTTCCTTTCTTTGCCTTCCTTTCTTTTCCTTCCTTTCCTTCCCATCTCCCAAACCCTTCCACCTTTCCCTCCTTCCTTTCTTCCTTTCCTTCCCATCTCTCAGACCTTTTTCTGCGGAGCATCCCAGCAGGAGGGAACTTGGTCCCGAGTTTTGATTCTTTGGACTCAGCCTCCTGAATGGCTTCTCCTCTTCTCACTCTCATTCAGGTCTTTGGGCTCGGGAACAAGACCTACGAACACTTCAACGCCATGGGGAAGTACGTGGACAAGCGGATGGAGGAGTTGGGAGCCCAGCGGATCTTCGAGCTCGGCTTGGGTGACGACGATGGCAAGTGAGTGGCCCCATTCAGTTTTCTCCTGGAGTATAAATAAACATAACAGTTGGGCGAGTGGGCTTAGTGACAAAAGATCTTCCCCATTAAAGTAGCAGCAGCGTGACCCAGCACCAGGAGCCCAACGTGAAAAAGAACAACAACACACAGACCAATGTTATCCAAAGGAGGCTTGTCTTTGTAGTAAAATAATATGGTTGCAATATTTACAAGAACAAGGTTTCCATAACACAGAAATAGTTCAACCTTCACACTGGAGCTTCACACACGAGGCCTTCTCACAACGAGGCCTACCTCACACTCTAAAGCCTTTCTCCAACAGTGAGGCCTACTACCACTGAGATCTGTTCTCCCACTGAGGTTTATCTCAGACTGACAGCGAACTCTCACTGGGGTAAACTAACACAGAGGCCTACAGAGAAGCCTCCTCACACAGATTGAGGTGTTCTCTCACAGACAAAGGCCTACCTCACACTGTGAGGCGTTCTCTCAGACTGAGACCTTTCTCCCTCTGAGGTTTGCCTCAGACTGTGGGGCCACACAGAGGCTTCTCTCACAGATGAAGGCCTACTTCACACTACGAGGTCTTACCTCAGACTGAGACCTTTCTTCCTCTGAGGTTTGCCCCGGACTGTGAGGTCTACCTCACGCAGAGGCTTCTCTCACAGACTAAGGCCTACCTCACACTGTGAGGCCTTCTCTCAGACTGAGACCTTTCTCTCTCCGAGGTTTGCCTCAGACTGTGAGGCCTACCTCACACTGAGGCTTTTTCTCACAAACTAAGTCCTACCTGACACTGTGAAATTTTCTCTCACAGACTAAGGTCTGCCTCACACTGTGAGGCCTTCTCTCAGACTGAGACCTTTCTCCCTCTGAGGTTTGCCTCAGACTGTGAGGCCTACCTCACACTGTGAGGCTTTCTCTCACAGACTAAGGCCTACCTGACACTGTGAGGCTTTCTTTCACAGACTAAGGCCTGCCTGACATTGTGAGGCCTTCTCTCAGACTGAGACCTTTCTCCCTCTGAGGTTTGCCTCACACTGAGGCTTTCTATCACAGACTAAGGCCTACCTGACACTGTGAAGCTTTCTCTCACAAACTAAAGTCTACCTCACACTGTGAAGCTTTCTCTCACAGACTAAGGCCTGCCTGACACTGTGAGGCCTTCTCTCAGACTGAGACCTTTCTCTCTCCGAGGTTTGCTTCGGAATGTGAGGCCTAGCTTACACTGTGAGGCTTTCTCTCACAGACCAAGGCCTACCTGACACAGTGAAGCTTTCGTTCACAGACCAAGGTCTGCCTCACACTGTGAGGCCTTCTCTCAGACTGAGGCCTTTCTCCCTCTGAGGTTTATCTCAGACTGTGATGCCTATCACACACTGTGAGGCTTTCTCTCACAAACTAAGGTCTACGTGACACTGTGAAGCTTTCTGTCACAGACTAAGGCCTGCCTCACACTGTAAGGTCTTCTCTTAGACTGAGACCTTTCTCCCTCTGAGGTTTGTCCGAATCCTCAGATTTCCAGACTAGCTCTATAGATGCTTCTGATGCTTCTTCGTATCAGTCAGGAAAGCCTTCACGGGTTTTGGAGCTACCGAACTACCCAAATCGAAGTAGCGTGTTCCAAAGCAACGCGGAAGGATTTTGTTGGGGGATCTTAATAACTTGCTTTTGTGTTGCTTTCCCTCCCAAACAGCCTGGAGGAAGACTTCATCACGTGGCGGGAACAGTTCTGGCCGGCCGTCTGCGAACACTTTGGCGTGGAGGCGACGGGAGACGAATCCAGGTCAGTACGTGGGTGTGGACGTTGGGATGCATGGGCTTGGAGCTCAGGTGGGTTTAGCAAGGGCAGCCTAGAATTCTAGAGGTGGAAGAGACTCCAAGGGCCATCTAGCCCACCCCCAGATTCCAAAGCAGCGGAAAACAAGCCTTGCTTCCTCTTCCTTATGTCTGCCTCCTTCTCCTTTCTCCTCCTGCAGTATACGCCAATACGAGCTGGTCGTCCACACGGACATCAACGCCAACAAGGTTTACACCGGGGAGATGGGCCGGCTGAAGAGTTTCGAGAACCAGAAACCGTAAGTGAAGACATACGGGCAGGATCATGCGCACCACGCGCCATTTAGGGCTCAAGGATCCCCCAAAGTATCCCAAAAATGCACCTCTCATTAAAATGAGACCATTTTGGACTGGGGCAAAGTGTAGTATGATCTGACATGAGGCCACAAGAAGGTGAATGTGTATTATTGTGGGTTTAAAATGTTATTTTATGCTGTTTTACACTTGTTTGGATGCTGTTTACATGATTTTAATGTTGTAAGCTGCTTTGTGTCCCGTGAGGGAGAAAAGCAGGATATACATATTAATTAATTTTTATTATTATTATTATTATTATTATTATTATTATTATTATTATTATTATTATTTGGCCTCCAGAAGGTGGACTTCACTAAGACATACTTTGTGTCCATATTGCTCTGGGGAGTCATATCTATTAAACCACTGCTAAAATAGAATCTTAGTTCAAAGAGACCCCAAGGGGTCACCGTCAAAACCCTCCCAGCAGATGGCCATCCATCCTCATGGACATCAGAAGCTTAATGGAGAAATAGGGCTGTAGACCAATAGGATTCTAGAGTCAGAAGAGACCCCCAAGGGCCATCCAGTCCAACCTTCTTTTGCCAGGGCACAATCAAAACCCTCCCAGCAGATGGACATCCAGCCTCATGGACATCAGAAGGTTAATGAAGAAATAGGGCTGTAGACCAATGGGATCCTAGAGTCGGAAGGGATCCCCAAGGGCCATCCAGTCCAACCTCCTTCTGCCAGGAAGGAAGACACAATCAAAACCCTCCAAGCAGATGGACATCCATCCTCATAGACATCAGAAGGTTAATGGAGAAATAGGGCTCTAGACCAAAAGGATTCTAGAGTCAGAAGAGACTCCCAAGGGCCATCCAGTCCAACCTCCTTCTGACAGGGAGGGGTCACTATCAAAACCCTCCCAGCAGATGGCTATCCATCCTCATAGACATCAGAAGCTTAATGGAAAAATAGGGCTGTAGACCAATGGGATCCTAGAGTCAGAAGGGACCCCCAAGGGCCATCTAGTCCAACCTCCTTCTGCCAGGAAGGAAGACACAATCAGAACCCTCCCATCAGATGGACATCCATCCTCATAGACATCAGAAGGTTAATGGAGAAATAGGAGTGTAGACCAATGTGATTCTAGAGTCAGAAAGGACCCCCAGGGGATATCTAGTCCTTCTGCCAGGAAAGGAGACACAATCAAAGCCCTCTGGACAGATGGCCATCCAGCCTCTGCTTCAAGCGTTTTTGGTTTCTTTCCAGGCCGTTTGATGCCAAAAACCCCTTCTTGGCTCCTGTGATGGTGAACCGGAAGCTGAACCAAGGTGGGGAGCGGCACCTCATGCACCTCGAGGTGGACATCACCGGGTCCAAAATCAGGTAAGCATGGCAGCATGCCACATGATTTTTGTTCCTGGGTTACAAATATCATTTCCTAATTGCTTCTATTCAAATAAACAAACAAACAAACAAACAAACACGGGAAATGTTTATTAAACTGTATTTTGTTGCATAGTGCTGTTGTTGCTATTGTTATTATTGTTATTATTATTATTATTTTGAAATCTTCTAGGTACGAGTCCGGGGACCATGTGGCCGTCTACCCCTGCAATGACACTTCACTAGTGAACCAGCTGGGAGAGATCCTGGGCGCCGATTTGGATACAGTCATTTCCCTAAACAACCTGGATGGTGAGTGTCAGGACCAAACTATATTCTTCTTGTTGTTGTTAGCTTTGGTACGCGACGTTGCCCGGGTTATTTGAAAAAGTCATTTTTTTAATTGTACCAAACGCATATGGTTGTGGGTGAACTACAACTCCCATCCTGCCAGGTTAACCTCCTGACACTCCATCCATACTCAAAGTTTGTTATGTTGGGCAAGTTTGCTCTAGAGTTGAGTCCAAAACACCTGGAGGGCTGGAGTTTGCCCATGCCTGGTATAGAGTATTCCTATCATATAATCATATGGGCATTATATACTGTACATTTTCTATCTGAAGCTGTCCCTATTTCTATCCAACCCACGTATTATTATGGATATAGATTATTATTATAATTATAATTATAA